GTAAGAAGACCAGACTTAATGGTCTGACTGATACTGGAGGAACCCCGGAAAGCATGGCCCCTGGATTCTCTATTAGCCCAGAACTGAAACAGTTTCCGAGGCCAACTCTTCAGTCAGGGATTGGACTGGACTGTGGGACATAAAGTGATACTTGTGAGGCGTGTGCCTCTTAGCTCAAGTAGATACAAGAGACTAAGTGGGCAGCTTCTGTCCGGAGGTGAGATGAGAAGGCGGAGAGGGTTAGGAGCTGGTTGAATGGACATGGGGAATCAAGGGGGGAAAAGAAGCGGGGGCCGGCAAAAGAAGGGGAAAACAAATAAAAGCAAAAAAAAAAGGAAGGAAAAAATTTTGGAAGGGGAAAAAAAAAGAATTAATACCAAGCTGGTCATAACAAAAGGGAATAATAATGAAAACTAAAAAAGGGAAAGAAAAAAATGAGGTCAGTGGAGTTGTCAGAATGGAAGCCCATCGTAAGTTGGGGGCTACGTGTACTTCTATATGTAGGTATATTGAACATTTTCTGGAAGTCTGCATATCAGCAGGTAGCTGTGGCTGTATCTGGGGGGTGACTGGCATGGGTCTAGGAAAGGAGGGTTTTCACTTTGGATATATTACTGCAATTTTTTACAAGGAAAACGTAATCGTATATTTTTTTTTAAATCCCAGGAAAATCAACTGTGTGTATCCTTCAGTTTTCGGAACCTTATAGAGCAGGTTTAATGCTGTAATGTGAACTTGTTACAGATTTACCACAGATTTTTATGATACATTTTATCAAAAGGCAGAGAACGTCTATAACATGTCTTTAAGGTTAGTGTATTATTACTTAGGCTTTTGTGAGTAAACCTGTCTCGGCTAGGTTATGTGAGGAGGGTGCGTGATAACTGACTTCTTAAGAAGCTATTGAATTGTGAAATAAATGGGGGCAGTTACAAAACAGAAAGTAATAGTTAGGCTCTGCTGAATAAAATTAAGGTTTTTTTCCCCTTTGGTGTAGCAATAGCTGACTAATGTATTTGATGGCGCAGTTAGTAAGCACTGGAAGATTCATTTTCAATTGCAGAGGTAATCTTCAGCTCTTTTAGATGAAAGTGCCCAGAACATCAGGTCTCAAATATGAGATGAAAACCTCTGAACTAGCTCTAATGTACTGACTGATACTAACTATGGTAGAAGAATTTTGATGGCACTTTACACTTGAGTAATAATCCTATTGATATCATACCTAGCATGCATTATGATAAAATGTTGGGACTTATTGCATCAAAAATTTTCGTGCTATAACAAAGTTTGTTTAGAAAATATTCTGCATCCCACTTTGGTGAGTGGCATCTAGGGTCTTAAAGGCTGACAGGTGGCCATCTAAGATGCATTAGTTGGTCCCAACCACCTGGAGTAAAGGAGAATGAAGAACACCAAAGACACAGAGAAAATATTTGCCCAAGAGACAGAAAGGGCCACGTAAATCAGAGACTTCATCACCCTGAGACCAGAAGAACTAGATGGTGCTCGGCTACCACCAATGACCACCCGGACAGGGAACGCAACAGAGAGTCCATGACGGAGCAGGAGACAGGTAGGGTGCAGAACTCAAATACTAGTAAGAAGACCAGACTTAATGGTCTGATACTGGAGGAACCCAGGAAAGCATGGCCCCTGGATTCTCTGTCAACCCAGAACTAAAACAGTTTCCGAGGCCAACTCTTCAGACAAAGATTGGACTGGACTGTGGGACATAACATGATACTCGTGAAGAATGTGCTTCTTAGCTCAAGTAGATACATGAGACTAAACAGGCAGCTCCTGTCCAGAGGTGGGATGACAAGACAGGGAGGGTCAGGAGCTGTTTAATGGACATGGGAAGTCGGGTGGAAAGGAGGCGTGTGCTCTCACAGCATAGGGAGAGCAAGTAGGGCCACATAACAATGTATGTATAAATTTTTGTGTGAGAAACTAACTTTAAATGTAAACCTTCACTTAAAGCACAATTAAAAAAGAAATCAAGCGATGTAAAGAAAAATTTCGTGCTAGCAGGGATAATAGTGATAGAGTGCTGATGTAAGCTTCACATGTATCACATCATTTAATCCTCACAATAGTCCCACAGTTTGGAACTTAGTTTCACTTAAAGGAGCCCTGATGACCAGTAGTTAAGCACTTCGCTGCTAACCAAAAGGTTGACGGTTCTAACCCACACAGTGGCTCTGTGGGAAAAAGACCTGGCGATCTGCTCCCATAAAGATTACAGCCTAGGAAACCAAATGGGGCAGTTCTACTCTGTCACATGGGGTCGCTGTGAGTCGAAAATCAACTTGACGGCATGTAACAACAACATCATCATTTAACATAGTAAGAAACTGGGGTCAGAGGGGTTAAGTAACTTGCCCAAAGTCATGTAGCTAGACTCTGCAGACTAGGATTTTAACTCCAGCACTCAGATCTCAGAGCCTGCCGCCGTATCCTCTACCCTCAGAGTTGGTATCAACTTGGATATCTCAAAGGCACTTCTGGTTCCTTTGAATCTAAAACCAAACTCAGGAACTTTACTCCCTCCAGCCTCTCCTTGGTCTTCTTTTGTTGTTGTCTGTCTCGTTGAATGTCATCTTCTTTCATATGTGTTTACCTCAGTGGTTATTCCTTATTCTTGGGATGAAGGCCAGCATTTATAACAGGACCTGTAAGGCCATTATCTGGCCCTGGCTGACTTCTCCATTTTCATTTTGGCCATTTCTTCCCTCCTCCTCTGTGTTCTAGTACACTGACTCCTCACAGGTCCTTTAATGGGGCCTTGACTATTTTAGGCTTTCTCCTATACTTCTCTGTCTGGAATCCAGCTTCTACCCCACTAATTAACTCCTACTCATCCTCCTAAAAGGACCCCTCATGGCACAATGGTTAAACACTTGGCTGCTAACCAAAAGGTCAATCGTTGAACCCACCAACTGCTCTGTGGAGAGAAGAAGACCTTTTGATCTGCTCCTGTAAAGATTACAGCCTGGGATACCCTATAGGGCAATTCAGCTCCTTTATATAGGTTCACTGTGAGTTGTAATTGACTTGGTGGCACATAATGACAACATCCTTCTAATCTCAGTGCAAACAGCACAGTCTTGGATAAGCTTTCCCTCACCTCCCTCCTTGTCCCAACCAAAAAAACCAAACCCGATTCCAACGCATACTCTAGGACAGAGTAGAACTGCCCCATAGGGTTTTCAAGGAGCGGCTGGTAGATTTGAACTGCCAACCTTTTGGTTAGCAGCTGAGCTCTTAACCACTGCACCACCAAGGCTCCCCCTCCTTGTTCCAGACCATATCAAATCTGGTTGCAAGTTATTTTAGCACCATTTATAGCTCACAAAGCATTTTGAATTGTATATTTTTATGATTATTTTATTAATGTTCATTTTTCTCTCTTAGATTCTAGTACCTTCAAGGCTGAGCGCTATAATACATACCCAATAAATTTGAATGAATGATGGAATCAGATCTTAGCTGCTTAATTTTCTTCCTGAGGAAACTGAAACTTGAAAAATGTATCATAGTCTTTGAAGCATGGAGTCAGACTGCCACTTAGTAGCTGAAAGTAGTTACTTAACCTCTCCAGGTTACACTGTTCTTGTCTGTTAAATAAGGATGAAGATAGTGCTGCGCCTTGGCTTGTTGTGCAGATGAAATGAGTTAATACATGTGAAGCATTGGAAACAGTGCCTGGCCTGTACTCAAATGGGTGTGAAGTGGGAGCTGTTGTTGTTTAGTATTGGGACCTCCCCCAGGGTCATTCAGCTGTTCAGTGCAGAGCCTGTCCCAGGTACCAGTTGTACTTCATGATGTTCTCCATCCTGAGATCGTATGGAATACTTTCAGATTTCTTCTGGGAGCTGAAGTTCATCTTTGTACTTTCTTTGATAAATGGATGTGCAGTTTCTTGCACAGAGATGGTGTGTGCACATTTTTGTTGTCTTCAGTTTAACCTAATTACAGATAAGGATCATACCCACTCCCACCATCAACCCTTGGGAGGCATTTCTGATACACAGTGAGAATTTGTGCTTTCATGGGATAAGAAGGTTAAGTACCAGCTGTGTTCAGACTTAGACTGTCAGATTAAGGTCTTTGAACTCAAATCTTTTGGAAAGAATTAAAAGATTTTAAGCAGGGAGTAGGCTATACATAGACTTTATTATTGAAAAATTGATTGCAGCAATTGGGATGAGAAGCTAGGTTTAGATGATGGTCTCAGATGAATTTAGGGACGCTGGAGGGAGAGCTGGGCTTTGTAGGGGAGATAATGTATAGATGATTGTATAGATTAAGTTGGAATTGCTTGTTGGACTTCTAAATGGAAGTACTCTCAAGTTGTTAACTGGGTGGGACAGAGGCCAGGAGAGAAACCTGGGATGGAAATACTGAAAACTATGTAGTATGATAAAAAGAGTAAAGCAGATAGCAGCTGTAGGTATTCTAGCTAAAAGCAGATCCTGCAGTACTTGCACGTGACAGGGTTTTGTGAGCTCTGATGTCTGTGTATACTTGAAGCCAACAAAACCACATTTCTGCATTTACTTGACGACGACAAAACCACATTTTAAATAGTACTCTATTTAAGCATGGCATTCCCCTGGTCTGCCCTAGTGCTGTTACAGTGCACGCCGTCTCTCAGTTTAATAAATAGAGTAGATTACCTTGTGGTGCATAAAAAGAGGTAAATGGAAGGGAATATGATGTCATGAAGTTTTCTTCTCAGAATACCGAAGAAAAGGGTGACTATTAACCATTTTAATTTGATTTTATAAATACCACGTTATTTAAAAATATGCTTATTTTGAAAAGGAAGTTAAACGTAATGATAGCGCTCTTAAGAAGAACATCAGTGCGGTGGCAGATTTATTAAGTCCTGGGCCCAAGTTAACGAGATGTGTGTTTTGGGAGTCTTTGTACCCTGAATACCTCACTAACTCGGGTGCTTGTGCTGTTTGTTTTTTTCCTCCCCTTAACTAGGAATCGTGGTGCTTGGAATAAACAGAGCTCATGCCAAAAATGCAATCAGTAAAAATCTTATAAAAATGGTGAGTGTAAAAATAAAACTATTTGCTTCTCATTTTAAGGTAAAGTGTTGACATAAACTGAAAACGATCTCCCCTTTTCCTCTTTACCCTCTCTGTTTCTGTTTAGCTGTCAAAAGCTGTGGATGCTTTAAAATCTGATAAGAAAGTGCGGACCATAATAGTCAGGAGTGAAGTCCCAGGGGTATTCTGTGCTGGTATGTAAATACGTTTTATTATGAAATTACACTGCATTCTAGTTTTCCCTCAGTATTAGCCCATTTTCCATTAGTCTGTGGTTTATACTCTATTACAAACAATTCCTCTTTGTTTTTTATTGTTTCTCAGGAAAAGAAAAATATGCTTTGTTTGTTAGCAGTAGAACTTTTACAACATGTGGATTGTTGAGAAAGCTGGAAAAAATACTTTGAAACATTAAAATATTTATTTGTGGTACATGAATGACATTTATGAAACATCAGCTGGAAATGAAAAATTGGGTCTTCTACCCACAGCACTGTGCTCTGTATTTATCAGTAGCTGCCCTGTTACAAGGGGGAAGGGAGGTTTGAACTCAAACAAGGCTTTACTGAAAGATGACATATGGTCAAAGACTTGGAGGAGCTAGCTATGCAGATAGTTGGAGGAAGAGTTGTAGAGAGAACAGCAGGTGCTGGTGAAGCTAGTGGAATGAACCCAAGGCAAACTAACAGTAGGTGAGGGCAGAGAAGCAACGAAGGGGCCAGATCATAGGTCATTGAAGGGACAAGAAACCATGGAAGGATTTTGAGCAGAGATTTGACTTGCTATGACTTATGTTTTAAAGGCATCACTCTGACTGTTACATTGAAAGTAGACTGTAGGAGAGCAAGGGTACCAGCAAGGAGAAGAGTAGAGATCCATGACAGTAATCCAAGTGAGATGCGCTGGCCTGAGCCCTGGACGCTACAACATGAAAGGCCAGAAGAGGAGCTGCGGCCAATGAGGGAGGATGAAAATGTGAGAGTTTAGAGTCTCTGAAGCCAAGAGAGGAAACCGGTTCAATGAGGAAGGCATAATCAGTGTTATCAAATTGCTGGTGGGTCAAGTAAAATGGCTTGCAAATTGATCATTGGATTGAGGGATGTGGAAGTCGTTGCTGACCTTGACAAGAACATTTGCAGTTAATTGGAGTGATAGAGGCAAAGATGAAAATAGGAGGAATTGGAGACAGGGAGTAAGTATATAGACAATTCTTAGAGTTTAGGGGCAAAGGAGGATGGAGAAGTGTGTGGTACTGGGGAGAGGGAGCAGTGAAGTTAAGAGTGTTTTTTGGATTTTTATTTGTAAAGATTGGAGAAGTAGCGGCATGTGTTGATGTGGATAGGAATGAACCAGTAGAGAATTAGGAAAGGGTGGTGAGAGCACAATGTCCCTGTTTAGGTGAGAAGGGATGGAATCCAGTGGCGGAGTGGGAGAATTGGCTTTAGCTAGAAGCACGTGCAGTTGGTTCATTCATTGGAACAAGTATACGTGGGTAAGGCGGAAGAGAAAATAACTGAGATCTGGTGGGAGTATGCATCCAATTGCTTCTCTTTTTCTTTTTCTTCAGTGAAAGGAGAAGCAAGGACTCAGTTAAGATTGAGATTTGAGAATTGGAGAGGGGATGACAGAGGCTTGAGGAGAGTAAGGTGTGAAGTAGGAGGTTGGGTGAAGTTAATGGACTAGTGATGCCAAGTACTGATAGATGCCCACTGCAGGTTAGTGGTTATGAAATTATAGTGGGGCTAGTCATCCCCTGCTCATGTGCTCTTTTAAAAAAATCAGCTATAAAAATGTTTTTACCCTTTTATTCAGTGATCTTGCTTCTGGAAATTTGTCTTAAGGAAATAATAGAAAATATGGAAATAATTGTCAGCATGAAAATGTTTGTTAGATTAGTTATATCAGTAGCCTAGTTGTAAGGAAATGATTCAGTAAATTTAACACTCATTAAAATGCTGAAAGCAACTGTTTAAAGTGATAACTGTAAAGATAGTATTACTGTGTGGAAAATGCATGTTATACGAGTAGAGAGAACAGTATACAAAATGTTACACCCATTAGGACAATAGCTATGTTAACTAAATCTACAAATAAGACCATGGGTTGTGGGTGATGTTTTTGTTCCTCTATCCTGAAACATTCTGTAATTATATATTAATAAATTATATTATGCAAATATATGCAAATGAAATAATTTTTAAAAATTACTGAGTGTATTAGTATATTCTCCTTTGGTAACTAAAATTGTGAGCGTTAACTGAATTCTTGAATTATTGTTGCAACATTTGAGAGGAAAATTTTTAGAATAAAAAAAGCCTATAGAAGAAGTCAGATCCTTTGATTTTATAAAATCCCTTCGAGGTTAAGGACCTGGTCAGAGGTGGTGACTTAGCGGAAACTACTACTTTTGACTCCTAGGGCAGAATTCATTGTACCAGTCGTTTCTACTCTCTTGGAGTATGAGGTTTCCCTTTAGAAAAAAAAAAAAATTTTATTGTGTTTTTGGTGAAAGTTTACACAGGCAGTTAGGTTCTCATTTAACAATTTCTGTACATATTGTTCAGTGACGTTGGTTATATTCTTCTCAATATATCAGCATTCTCGTTATTTCCATTGTGGTTGTTCTCTTTCCATTAATCTAGCTTCCCTATCGCCCCTAGCCTTCTCATCTTTAGTCTAGGATAAATGTTAACCATTTGGTTTCGTCTACGCAATTATTTAGAGGAGCACAGTACTCACGAGTGATATTATTTATTTTATGGGCCAATCTGTCATTTGGCTGAAAGGTGACCTCTGGGAATGATTTGAGTTCCAAGTTTAAAGAGTGTCTCAGGGCTGTAGTCTCAGGGGTTCATCTAGTCTCTCCTGGTCCAGTAAGTGTGGCCTTTTTTTTAGGAATTTGAATTTCATTCTACATTTTTCTCCCATTCTCTCTGGGACCATCTATTGAGTCCCTGGTCGGAAGGGTCGGTAGTGATACCCCGGCACCATCTGGTTCTTTTGATCTCAAGATAGATGATGAAGTTGTTCGTGTAGATTTGTTGGTTCTGTAGACTAATTTATTCTCTGAGTCTTTGGTTTTCTTCTTTCTCTTTAGCTCTGGATGAGTAGAGACTAATAGTTGTGTCTTAGATGGCCACTTGCAAGCTTTTAAGACCCAAGATGCTACTCACCAAAGTAGGATGGTAGAATATCATCTTTATGAACTGTATTATACCAGTTGACTGAGTTGCCCCACGAGACTATGGTTCTAATCCCTCAAACCCAATAGACCAATCCCATGAGGTGTTTTTGGTTTTATCCAGGATGTATACATAACTATGCCTCCTATGTGCTTTCTTTTATACTTGAAAATGCATGTGCAACACACATACATGTGTATATACATATGCCTACTGAAACCAAACCAAACCCGTTGCTGTCGAGTCGATTGCAACTCGTAGTGACCCTGTTGGACAGAGTAGAACCTGTCCTATAGAGTTTTGAAGGAGCACCTGGGGGATTTGAACTGCTGACTTTTGGTTAGTAGCCATAGCTCTTAACCACTATACCACCAGGGTTTCCACATATGCCTACAGTTATTCATATATGCCTTCCTGTACATATTTATGCATACTTATGTATCGGTGTAACTAGATGACTAAGGTGGGTGCTTTGTCTTTTTGTCGTTGAGTTGCTGAAGTTTACTATAAATTTTGGAGATCAGACATTACCTGATATGTCCTTTCCAAAATTTTTTTTCTCAGTCTATAGGTTCTCTTTTTACTCTTTTGATAGTGTCTTTTGATGAGCAGAAGTTTATAATTTTTATGAGATCGCACTTACCTATTTTCTTCTATTCGTGCATTTGTTGTAATTCTTGTTACCCTATTTTTACCGAAGATTAGGTCCCATATTTTTCTCCCAGGAATTTTATGGTTTTAAGTTTGACATTTAGGTCTTTGATGCATTTTGAGTTAGTTTTTGTGTTTGATGAGGTATGGGTCCCGTTTCAGTTTTCTGTAGGTGGATATCCAGTTTTGCCAGCACTGTTTATTAAAGAGATTGTCTTGGCCCCACTGGATGGGCTTTGACCCCTTGTAGAAAATCAGTTGTCCATGGACGGTTTGGGTTTAGTTCTGAGTTCTTTGGGCTATTCCATTGGTCCATGTGTCTGTCGTTGAACCAGTACTGGGCTGTTTGGATTACAGTGGCTGTATAGTATGTCTTGATGTCAGGAAGTCTGAGGCCTCCTGCTTTGTTCTTTTTCTTCAATATTGCATTGGCTATTTGGGATTTCTTTCCTTTCCATATGAAGTTGGTCATTCGTTCTTTCAATTAAGTAAAGAATGTTGTTGGGATTTGTATCGGGATTGCATTGAATCTGCAGATCGCTTTAGGTAGTATTGACATTTTCACTATATTAAGCCTTCCTATCCGTGAGCATGGGATGTCTTTCTGTTTTTATAAGTCTCTTTTAGTCTCCAGTAGCAGTGTTTGATAATTCTCATTGTATAAGTCTTTTATGTCTCTGGTTAGGTTAATCCCTAGGTATTTTATTCATTTGGAGGCTATTGTAAATGGTCTTATTTTCTTGATTTCTTTTTCAGAGTAGTCTTTTTAGTCTAGAGGAACCCGACTGATTTTTGTGTGTTGATCTTGTATCCTGCAACATTGCTACATCTTTCTATTAGTTCCAGCAGTTTTTTTGTGGAATCTTTAGGGTTTTCTATATATAGTATAATGTCACCTGCAAATAATGGTAGTTTTACTTCTTTTCCTGTTTGGATACCTTTTATTTCTCTTTCTTGTCTTATTGTTCTGGCTTGGAGTTTCAGTACAATGTTGAATAAGTCTGATGATAATAGGCATCCTAGTCTCATTCCTGTTCTCAGAGGGAAGGTTCTCAGCCTTTCTCCATTGGGTGTAATGTTGGCTGTTGGTTTTTCAAATATGTCCTTAATTATGTTGAGGAATTTCCCTTCTTTTCCTATTTTGCTGAGCCTTTATCAGAAAAAGGTGTTGGATTTTATTGAATGCCTTTTCTGCATCGAATGATATGATCATGTGGTTCTTTTCCCTTGTTTTATTCATGTGGTAGATTATAGTGTTGATTTTCTTATGTTGAACTACCCTGGTAATCCTTCTATGAATCCCACTTGATCATGGTGTATGATTTTTTTGGATATGTTGCTGTGTAGTCTATTGGTTAGAA